GCGTATACAAGCAATCGAACAAGTCTTTGGCCATTAATACGAGCGAAAACGCCATAAAAACTTCAGATAAACTCCATCTTGGGCCGTCATGGTTGATTTAGGGTTTTTGATTCGAGTCCCTGCTTTTATATGCTTTGAACTCGTAATTCTTGAGCCATTAAAAAACACCTCTTAAGGTGAAAAAGGTTCTCACTTATTCTACGATCCAATCCAAAGGCAGCGTCACCACGTCTTCAACGATTGTGACTTCCATTGTAATCTTTGGCCTTATGCTCTTAGATTGTACTTCTCCGATAGTTAGGGATGCCTTTATGCCCATCAGAGATATTCTATATTGATGATTCCATACTCCCGGCATTTCGGTTCCGAGATAATTCCATCTAAAATATTTCTGTGTCCCTCTCTGAGTTTAGATTCTCTCCTTGGTTGATGCTGGGATAAACCTTGTTGAGTCTCCGCTGTTTGGCCGTAGTTTTATGCTTGGTAAACAATACTGATTTACTGCGATCAATACTCCCCCTGAAGCTGGAGATGTAGTTTGACGGAATCCAAGCTTCTCAAAACAAAATTTGATCCCTAGGTGTGCTTCGAAGATGTGGCCAAAAATTAGACTGAGAAAAATTTATGATTCTTGCCTGTGATATCCTGTAAGAGGGGAAATCAGGACTGAAAAATATTAATATTGTGAAGTATATACCGGATCAACAGGTGTATTGGTTAGGGGGTAAAGTACTTCGCTAAAAATGTATAGGTCAGTGATTCTATTCCCGCTAGCTTCATAGATTTTGCATTTGGTGTTAATCTGGTTGGCCCATGGCCCAGTTGAAAATTGTCCTGTTTGTTTTTGTACGACTTTCTGGCCTGCGTAGTGGGCTGAACTCCAAGCATCGCAGACCCAGACCGCAGGGAGTATCGCAAACCTTATGAAATCGATATTCTAACAATCGTGGAAATAACTCCGATGACCGCCATCACCGTAAAAGAACTGAGGAGTCCAAGCCCCACCACAAAGACGATTCAGTACCGAAATCTACACCCTACTCACGACGCGCCGACTATCCGTTGAAGACAACCAGCTATCATCAAGATAAAAGTAACGAATTTTATAGAAAAGCATCTAACGTAAGGGGATACTACTCCAGGGAAGAAATGCGTAAATCTCCTAAAGTAACGTTCAATTTGGACATGAATAATGAGCAGAATTATAGTAGTGACGATGAAGGCGTTAGAGCATTTTCAGCAATTGCCGACTATGTCGAATCTGACATCGAATTGTCAGATGAGGATATGCCAGAAGCCATCATGGCTACCACCGAAAATTGCCCCGGATTCGTGATTAAGACTAACATCGAGCCGGACGAGAGAGAACTATAAGATTTTACTCTAAATAATTACAGTTTGGACGATGCCGATGGACCGACGGGACTTCTACTCGACAGCTCTAGTGAGGATGACTACGATGACCTACCCAACCTGCTGTCCAACAGCGACTCCGAAGAAGATGAAGCTTTTAGCGAAAAATTTAGTGAGGACGTTATCTCTTCACCTATCAAACCTATAGAATCTGAAAATTTTTTCGGCCAAAGAGCATCTACGACTGACAAAATTACAATGGCTGAACCTAGTGGGACTCTAGACAGTGGAGTCTCAGTCCACACTATTAACGATATGGAGTTGATATCAAACGCAAAGTGTCACTTCACAAACGAACACCTGTAGTAAACACATCAAAATACGATACTAAAACCTGAGTCTCCCTGAGGCTCAGTGCGGTGTATTTATTCTTATATTTGATTGTCTACGTGGTCTACAAATGATTCACCTCGTGTGAATTAATTGTAAACTAATTCTAACTCCACACTGATAGTGGTTTAAGGGGACTTTTACTACACTCCCGTCAAGCTCAAGCGTCACCAGTGATTGAAGAGCTTCCAAATTGAATGACCTCTTAAACTATTGAAAATTAAACAATTAAAACTAATACTGTAAGTTAAACAAAATATAAACCCTATAGTTCGTGCCTTGGAAACTGGTCTTTTGAACCATCCCGGCTGTGCTGTCCCTCAGTTCCTTGTCTAGTTCCAGGCGAACAACGGTTTCCTCGGTCAAATCTGGTGGTCGTCTCAATGGTATTGGTTCCAATAGTTTGTCTAGCTCCATCGTATCTATGGGTGAGAATGGCGATTGAAGGCCTCCCACGTATAGCCCTAAGCCAGGCAAAAGATCCTGGCCTACGATTGCGTGGATAGCCGGTGGTAGATTCATTAGCTCGAAAGACCGTGTACTAAACACATCAAAATACGATACTAAAACCTACTGAGTCTCCCTGAGGCTCAGTGCGGTGTATTTATTCTTATATTTGATTGTCTACGTGGTCTACCAATAATTCACCTCGTGTGAATTAATTGTAAACTAATTCTAACTCCACACTGAAAGTGGTTTAAGGGGACTTTTAC